ACTAAGGGCTTTCAAAGTACAATCCTTAGGGAGGCCCCCACAGTTTATCTTTCGCCCCACAAAGCCCCAGGGTCTCTAGGTTTTAGGGTTGAGGGTTTAGGGTTCAGGATTTAGGGTTCAGAATTTAGGGTTTAGGATTTAGGGTTTAGGGTTTAGGATTTAGGGTTTAGGATTTAGGGTTTGGGATTTGGGGTTTAGGGTTTAGGGGGAAAGCCTTATAATACCTGGGCTCCTAAAGTATGTGTGAGTGTGTGTGTGAATATATATATATATGTGTGGAGATATAGAGCTGTTTCGGGACTGTATGGGGATAGCCTAAGGTTGCAGAATCATGGCCAATAATCCAGAAACAAGTGCCAACCAGATCATGTTACATGTACTGTTGTGGCTCAGGTAATGTTTGTGTTTCATGCTGTTTCTTCTGGAATTTTCTTACATTGCGTAGTGGGTTGACCAGGAAACACATGATCCGGGCGCCGATTCTACTGTTTCATCAGCGAAGACGCATGCCCTCAGTGCCTCTAAGCTCACATCTGAAGCTGTTGTGTTCAGGGTTGTAAGCGTCATTGCCCCGCCATGTGACGTAAAACCTACTGTAAGGAGTTCCGCACGTGGGTTTACAAATTTACTTGTAAGCCTGCTTGACTTTCTTGATGTGGATGGCTGCGGAGTATGTGAGTCATCATGCTTTCTCTCCCCTTTAGACAATTCTATCAGTGTGGTGTCTCCGCCAGAGGAAAGCCCCGCTCAGGCCCTTCAATAACCATGCTGGGTATGAAAGCCAGGAACACTTTTCCAAGTACACAGGCGAAACTTGCCGGTGGTCAGGCCAAGCAATATTCATCTACCCGTAACATGTATGATGTTTTACATGTGTGATCTAGATGGAATAAAAACATGAGCGGCAATGCTGCTTTAATGTGGGGATATGATGCCCCAATATACTAGCAGTTTCCATGCTCTTTTCCATTATTTCCTGTTTCGGAGATGATTATAATTTGCTTTGAGCTACATTTTGGGAGAAGTGGGCCATGCCGATCCGTCATATCCTCTCATGTCCTGCCAGCCCTAGCATGAACAATATGCAAGCAGACCTCATTGAGCAATGCTGGCACCAGCCTAAACTGGAAAGCAGAGAGACTGGCCAGTTGACGAGACTGACGCAGACTTTGGCAACAGCTCCACGAACAAATACTGCAGGCCCCGTCTTTATTCCAAATGCCGAGCCCAAACAAATTGTGCTGCAAAGGCTTTTGCTCTCGCTGCGTAGCATCGCTTCGACTTGCGGCTGGCGCGCCTTGCATCATTGGCACATCTCCATGTGACCCTTAGTGTTTCAGGCACAGGCTACTTTCGCAAGCGAAGGGTAGGCAGCATGCATTACTACATAGTCGCACTGCGAGGAGGGACCTTATTTAACCTTTCACACATTGGCCACTGCAACTTGAACCTTGGAGTCATGGCTTGCGCGCCAGGCAGTGGACGCATTTGAGTTGACCTTCTTTGTATCCTGGTATCCGGTAATATCCAGTCCCACAGCCGACAGGCAGGGTGATGTTGTAGCCTATATTCGGAATGGGAGGCAGCAAAGTACCCTAAACCCTAAATCCCTAAACCTTAGACCATGGCAAACTTGGAGCCATGTTTGCGGCAAGCTGTTGAAAGTTCTATTGTTTCTTACGACTCATGGCCATGGCCGAAGACCTGCGAGACATCGTGGGGAAAGATGCCATGATCTTGAAGCCCTATGCTACCCTAACCAAGCTGGCCACAACCATGAGCCACAAAGCAGGCTCTCAAGCCTAAACCATCAGACGCAACCAAAACTGATCGGGGTTGCTGTTATGGAGCTGAAATCAAATTACCAATCATGCAAATGAGACGGGAAAGAAATCGGAAACTGGGGTTATGCAGGGGTTATGAAGGGATTCAAGGTGCTCAGAATTTCTGTGTTACCACACTATGACTATACAATAAACACCAGGTTTTCATCAATTTGTCAACTTAGCTTGAGTTACTTAACAGCAGCCCGATAAATCCCACAGCCAAAGCCCTTCTCACAAAGGGGCCTCAATACGCACAAAGATTGATCAGGCACATCCAAGGCACAACAAGTTACAACTATAGAACGGCTATGCATCGGTACCCGCCAGATTTCTTGAAGACTACACCAGCCAAAGGTAACTTGCCTCGACCCCAAGACCCTGAGATAGGATTTGGGGACGCTTTCGAGCAATAGTACAAACTTCAATCACACTGATACAATCCCGTAGCGATCCAGATAGCCCAATGCATGGAATACTTACAGGCTTTGGGGCCCAAGGTAGGTAGTATTTGTACACTTGGATCCCTATATAGCCCCCTTTAAAACCCCAGTTTCAGTTTCAGTTTCCATTTTCTTGTCCACTTCGTTCTCCATGATTGGTATTACTTGTATACTTGGATCCCTAGGGATCACCATAGAAACCATAACCCTAAACCCCTAAACCCTAAACACTGGCCGCAAAATACCGGGACCCCGGCCCGGTAAGACCTCAGGCCAATCGTCCCGGTATTTCCCTGGCATCTTAAAGGCTTGTAGATGCAGAAGGACAGGGCTCAGGGTTTAAGGGTTTAGGGTTCAGGGGTTTAGGGTTCAGGGTTTTGGGGTTTTAGGATTTAGGGGTTAAGGGTTCAGGGGTTTAGGGGTTTAGGGTTTTAGGGTTTAGGGGTTGAGGGATTAACGGGTTTGGGGGCACTTGGCAACAACTTTAGGTTACCGGCGGTCTCAGGGCTAGCCATTAAAGAGTCCAGAGCTTCTCGGCTTCCCGGCGCGTAAACTTACTTATGCTTATTATAATCCCTATAGAACTCCTATAACCCCTATAGCTTCCATTTTATTTTCCATGATCCCAATATAACCCCAATATACTATAGAATTCATCTTAGTGGGGAGTAAGGGAATATTATTTCGAGGAAATCCCTATAACCCTTTTTAGTTTTTCCCTTATTCCCTACTAATCCCACTCCCCAAACCATCGACCCCGAATAAATAACTTATTCCCTACTCACCCGCCAAGTAAGTCCTAAACCCCAAACCTAAACCCTAAACCCTAAATCCTAACAAGCAAATATTGGTAGCTTTAGGGATTTCATGCGCTCCGAGATGAGCTAAAAAGGGTTCATCAAAGTTTATGGGATCCTCACGACGGCCCCTTATAAGGGGGGCCGCCTTTTTAAGACCTCCCAAAGGCCTCCCCAAGGTCTTGAAAGGTCTCCTATTATGGGGCCCCCTTACATGGGGCCCCCGTAGGGCTTCTATAAAAAGTCGCCCTTTAAGAAGTTTTAGGGTTCGTAGGGCTGATTGGGTCTCAGGGTTTATAGGATTTAGGGTTTACGAGGTTTAGGGTTTATAGGGTTTATAGGGTTTGTAGGGTTTAGGGTTTGTAAGGGCTAGGGTTTAGGGTTTATAGGATGTAGGGCTTAGGGTTTGGGGGGTTTAGGTTTGAATAGACACGGCATTTTGGCGGAGCCAGATCGGGCTCAAGGACCCATCATGGAAGTGACATGCCCTGCGCGCATGCCGCCTGTAGCGTGTCATAAGCAAGCCCCGGGGCTCTAAGTCTATAGTAATACCTGCATTAGGCCCTATAGGGAAACCTACATTGGGCCCCAGGGCAACACAGGGATTCCGAGATTCTGGCACCTCTGCAGGAGATGGCGCGAATCTTTCCGGGAACCTTCCAGTTTACATGCAACCTGGGGCCTAAGTCAGAATGACTTCGAACTACCCCTGCGGCTCCCAGTTACCTAAATAGTAGGCTACCGGGCTCTGAAACTATAGGGTACACAGAGCCCAGAACCCATGATTTAGGGAACTAGAGCCCTAGGATACTCAATAACCGTCTGTTCGCGCGCAGCGTCCATGCACCTGCGCAATTTGTTACCACCCGCAGAATCGGAACTCTGAGCCCCAAACCGTAAACCCTGAAACCTACACCCTTAACTCTTAAACCTAAGCCCTAAACCCTAAACTACCTTCTAACGGTGGCAGCTGGGCTTCCTGGCGGCTTAACCCTAAACCCTACAACCTAGTTCTATAGAAGCAAAGGCTATAGAGGGGGGCCTTACCTTAGGAGAGCTGTTCCAGGGGGCCGTCCCCCCTGTTTAAGCTGCGGGTCAAGCCAGCCCCCAGGCCTCCAAAGGCAAGCCCTAATTATGGCTGGATGCTTGTAATCAGACCGTGAAGGAGTCAGCTATTGTCGCTCTTGATGTTGTTGTGTCCTGCTACCACTACCACTGCTGTTCCTACTCCTACCACGCCATTTTGACTATCATCCTAATCCTCACCGTTATCTCTTGAACATCAATTTGGGGGTATCCCAAAATTAGGGGTACCCTTTTGGAGGCCTCCATAACAAGGATTATGGTATATTGGGGTCCCCCTATTTACGAATACTAGAATTTTCAAACCAAGGCCGCCTGCCGGAAAGGTAAGCGTCCACAGCAGCCACCACTGCATCCTCCACGGCCTCTGAAGCCTTGCCAATGTTCTACAGGCTTAGGGTTTAGGGTTTAGGGTGAGTTTGTAGGGTCAAGGCTTTGAAGTTTTGTAAGCTTGGGCCGCAGGCTTTGGGGATCAGGGCTTGGGGATCAGCTTTCTGGTTCGGGCTCGGGGCTTCAGATTCTACATATTCTGCTTGTTGCCTCTATGTCTTCAACATTAATCCCTGAACCCTGAACCCTTTTGCTTGTTTATGCAGGACCGAGGTGTGCCTCGGTACATTATAGGAGCTTAGCTGAGCCTCTGACACTCGACACAGGTTCCGGGTGGAAAGGTCAAATGTTGCAACCTTCATTTTAGCAACTGCTAAAGCAGTATCTTCAACATCATTATTCTGATTACTGTTCTTTATACGGCTACCATTACTTAAACTTGTGGGCTTGGGGTGCTCAGGGGAAAGCTCAATCTGAAGCCAGCCACGTTGCCGGGGAAATCCCTCAGTCTCTCAATGGCATGGAGGTGTTGCTGCACAGTTAGTTGCCTCGTTGCAAAGCGCAGGCAGGCAAAGTATGGCGCACTACCCAAACCCAAACAGGCACTACTCATATATAACTTATTATAAGCTTACTGCTCAAAGTTATGTACAGTATCATGGCCAGCAAGTACCATTTGTAGACTCAGAACACAAAGGCAATTAGATGGCCCAGGGGGTGTACCTGCTCAGTCCTTGCGCCGGTGTGGTGAGTGCCATAGATACCACCTGGGCGCTTTTCAGAAACCACTCTACAGTGGTTTACGGGGACCCCCACATGCACAGACTCCTGTTGCAGCCCCCAAATATGCCTCGGACCCCATGGCAATGTCGTAGATAGGATGGAAGGGGGATTATGTGGGGGTTTCGGGCTCGTTGCTTAACGGCTTGACGGCAAAGAGGACTGCAACATCATGTTTTGACATCTGGGGAAGCCGTGTTTGGCTGCAAGCCCTTCACACACCTCTGGCTTCTTCGGAGATTGTAACTTTCCACGCATTTGCCACTTGCATCCACTCCCCAACCTCGAATCTCGAGCCATACACCTGAACCCTAACCTTATAACCAGACTGAAACGGCTAGAATCTTCATCCCATGCTTGCACCCAAACGGCAAACGTTCAACCCAACAGGGACTCTCTTAACGAGTCCTTGTACGGGACGAAAATGTCTTCTTTCAGAATTCAGAGTACAAGACTGTAGTCTGCAATAGTTTGTGGCCGTTGTTTGTGATACCCTTTAGATCCCCAACTGGTCCAAGAGTCAAGATATCTGGGGTTTGCGGCGATCCCAAATCCAAGGAAACTGCAAAGAGGTTGCGGGCAAGTTCTCAAGGCGTCCACGTTTTGGAGTCCTAGCATGTGGCGGTTTCCCAAAATTAGGGATACCTTTTGGGGTCTCTATAAGAAGGACTATAGTACGTTGGGGCCTACATTGGGGTCCCGCTGTTTGGGGAAACCACCATTTCAGACGGATTGCGATTGTCATTGTCAGTGTCAGCCTGGATATAAGTTGTTGTCGCTGTCTTTCCTACTGTTGCTGACCGCCGCTGCTAGGATCACCTTGTCACAACAGACCCCAAAACCTGAACCCGGAACCCCAAGCCACCACCGCAACAGCAGCTAAACTCCCATCTTGAAATGTCTCAGGCGAGAACTCACCTCCATGATGGCCTGTGGGCAAAGTCAAGAGGACACCTACGGGCAGCTGCCCGCTCTAGAAGGAAAAAGTCAAACGGTAGCTTCAAATCTGCAAGACGGGTGACTTTCAAGGGCATGTCAAAACGGCTTGGCTGTCTTGATTCTTGATAAGTTAAAGTTCAAGCTAGGAAGTACACTCTGAGGTCCTTAGAGGCCACCCGGTCCTTTCTGGCAGATGGCGAAACTGTGTCTGAGAACTGGGCTGAGCCTAGCGTCCCTACCATATCCGCACATGCTCCTATTGCAGCTGAATGGGCGGCCTCTCATACACCTGTTACCTGCCGGCTCTGCAAGACCAGTGCAAAGTCCTGCGGTTTAGGGTTTAGGGTTTAAGGTTTAGGCCACCTACAAAACTCAAATGTGCCATGGCTCTCGCCTCTTCAGCTCTGCAGAAACTTTTTCAAGAACTCTGTACCCCGCTGGTTATGGAAACCTCCATGTCTTACCTTTTTACAGTCGTGCGCCCAGTTTTTTCGGATACATACACCCAGGGTCACGCTGACGAACCCTGCAGCCTGAAAGCCAAAGCGCAAGGACCGCACAGATTCAACCCCAAATCCTCGGCCTGATCGCACGACAAGACCAGAAGGGCACAAAACAGACCCTTGAACCTAAATCCGCACCCCCGTATACCCTAAGCCCCTTCACTTATGACCCTGCAGCTCTACATGGAATCCAGCAAGTCCGGTGCCGTGTCTGGCTCTACCTAGCCCTCCCAAAGGCCATGACAATCATGGGTAATGTAGGCCCCTTATTAACAATTAACAACCCCCTCCTTCTCATAGGGATTATAACAGGGATCCTAATATTGAGACCTTTAAAAGGAGAGGGTTTATCAATCATGGGTCTACAGTTCAATATATTAATCGTCCAAACCGTCGAGGTCCAAAATGGTATAAAGGCATTAGTCCATCTTTTGAAGGTCTGGGCACGTACATAAACAACCATGAAGCCTGTCTAGTCAGTCATTCACATTGAGCCACAAAACAGGGGCTATCGGGTCATTCTACTTTACCCTGAAGAAATGGAAGGTAATGGATGACAAGGAGTACATCATGCATTCTCCCAGCTTTAGGATTCTATCTACCCTAAAGCCTATAGGGTTTAGGGTTTAAGATTGAGGGCAACCAACCCTAAACTAAATCCTGGCTTCAGGTTTCAAGGCCCAGGGTCGCCTGGGTTTACAGCGCAACCTTAAGTTGTAAACAAAGCCCGAGGGATCCAAGTATACAAATAATACCAATAATCGAGAATCAGCTGGCACAGGCATGGAAAATGAAATGGACACAGGTTATGTAGAGATCCAAGTATACAATTGATACCTACATTGGGCCCTGAGGTCTGTAAACATTACCCCACATTGGGCTATGTGCATCCCTAGGGCGCGCTAACCCTGAGACCTCAAGCTCTAAAACCCAAAATCTTTGACACATGCACCCTTCAACTAAACTCATGCATTGACCTTGTGCCACATCTCAGGTTTGTTTTTGTGTAGGCCCTAGCTTAGGCTTTTGGCAGGGTTGCCACAAACAATACTTGGAAGTTCATGGGGCTAAGTTGCTGGCTATAGCTGGAAATGAGGCTTCTGCCCATGCTTCTAGCTGCGGGAACCTACACTATGTCCGGTGATTATAACCCTAAACCCTAAGCCTTAAACCCCAAGCCCTAAACCCTAATTAAGCCCTAAGCCTGAAACCGCTATGCCACAATTGTCACCATGGACTAATGGGGGGTTCTGATTATAACCCCCCCCTCCCTAAACCCTAAACCCTAAACCCTAAACCGCGTGAATCCGAAGTTAACATTAGATGCCATGAGCCCTGAAGTTGGGCGTGACTGGACGGTGATCCCGCTACTGAGCTACTGCATCTCAAAAGATGTCTGACAAAGGATGAAGTGTAGGGGGTATATAGGGTTGATATAGGGATTATAGGGATTATATAGGGATCATATATGAGCTGCATCCCCCATACAAAAAACAAAGTACTTTGACCCCCCCCCCTCCCCCAGCAATGCAAGCAGCACCCTCTTTCCTGCGAAAGTCGTCACAACCAGACTCTGGTGTAGCCCAAGCCCAAACTGAGAAGGATGGCTTTGAAGGTGCCCCTGTAAAACATAAGTACACTGAACCCGAAACACTTCAACAATCAGAAGCATCATCCAGAAGCCTTTAGCTGAAAGAGCTGCAACACCATTTCACTAGCTTCTAGCAGTGTAGCAGCCAGTACCTTGGGTAGAGAAATTATACATGCCGCGACCATTTCGAGACGGCCCTGTTGTGGAAACAGTGCAATATAACCGTCATGGGGCTATATGACGTCGATATTTATGACACCTTTAAGCGTAGCCACCTGACAACTACAGAGCCCGGGGGTTACCTTCATGCAGGCGAACGTAGTGATTCACGGAATTCATAGCTTAGCGTGTTTGCTTTGGCCGCTGCTTGCACTTGCACTGCCTTGACTGGCCTCTAAACCCCAACCCTGATCCTGAACCCTACACCCTGAACTCAGTGTGGGGTTTAGGGTTTGGGGTAAGCCCCCCTTCTACAACTATACGAGGATTTAGATGTAGGATAGTTGTAGGGTTTGGGGATACCAAAGCCCTCTTATTAGTCTCCTACATTACACTCCCCTGCATTAGTGGGGAAGCCCTGCTTCCTTTTACTTCCATTTAATCTATCGTGTTCTTGTCTACTTGACTTTCCCCTTTTTCTGCGTTGGCACGATTATCCCTACATAATCCCTGCATATGTGTGTGTATATATATATATGAATATATCCCTATATAGTCCCAAACCCTACACCCTAAACCCTACACTCCAACCCTATAATGTCTGCAAGCACTAAACCTTATCAGCCACGGGCCATCCAGCCTTGTCCTGGAACTTGGTATCGTTGGCGCCAGGCTCACGTTCGAAAACGTCCAGGCCTGACAGCTGCTTCAGTCTACTGGGCGTTAGTAGGGTATAAGTCACCACGTATATATATATATATAGTTTCTTGGGTTAAAGCCTTTATTCACTGCTAACCACCAGTAAGTCCTTAGTCTACAATGGTCAGGTGCAGGTTCAGGCTAGTTTTCCACACGTTTGGCAAAGGCAGCTCTTTTACGTCATGTTTGTCTTGGTAATTACTCAACACAGGCATTCAAAAACAACACAAAATGAGGAATGTATAGCTACAATTCCCAATGGTATCCCAAAACGGTCAATTGCAAAGGCGCACGGCTGTCGCAAGAGAGGAGCCTAAAAGTCTTCCCTTTTGACCTTTGTATTTCTTCCCAAAAGTCTTCAACCAGGGAACATGCCTGGTGCCAAGTGCTTTCAAATCATGACCATCATATGGGAGAACGTAGCCATTGGAGGCCTGGTAATGATGAGTAACCAGACTGTAAAGGGACTACAGTTTTGATGACCTTCCATATGTCCTAGGACCAGCTAGTTTCTTTGAAAAAACTATCACCCTGCTGCAAAGACTCCGCACAAGGAAGAAGGCAGACCCGTGATTTTCGAAACCGCCCGAACCCTCGGCCGTCCCGATAACAACAATTCATTCTCTCTATCAAAGCCCTCCTTTCATAAGCACAAGACTTGTTGAAAGCTGCGAACTGGCAATGAAAGCATGCCAGGCAAAAGCAAAAGCTTAGTCAGCCGCCCGCACGAATCCCTCTCGCCTGCCAGGGTCGAGCTTCAGAGTTCAGAGCTTACAGGGTTTAGGGTTTAGGGCATGCTTCCATAGAAACCTTTGCACCTTACCTAACATTCAGCAACCCCACGCCATTATTGTTCAATGTATCCCCAACATAAGTCGGGCTCTTCGAAGTCAAGCGTACTATTGGGATGTAGTGTGTCTACTATTGCACGGATGATAATAAACAATGTTGCTGAGTTTGTTACAGCTTTGCGGTTGAGAAACATGTACTTCAAGAGACTACTTTCGCCACTTGTACATTTGAACCCGCCTTAATGGCAGAACAAGACTACAACTATGTATGTAATTGCTGAGAAAAAGATTGTGTGGGAGATGAAGGGATAGGAGGATAGCCTGATCCTTGTTCCTGGGGTGAAGGTGAAGGCCAGAACTTTTGCTTCCTGGTGGTTAGTAGGGAATAACGGAAGATCATCCTTACCAACTCCCTATAGAACAAAGATTCCTGTCACTTGTGTCTCTCTCCCTTGGTGCACGCTTCTTGTCACCCCTGCTATGGCAAAGCTGGGCCTGCATCAGACAAACAGAAAGCTGCCGTAGGGTTTAGGGTTTAGGAGAAACATATCCTGCAAAGTCCAGGGTCCAGAGATATATGAGTATGTATGTATATATATATATGTATATATCTCGAAATTGGATACCAGTAGCTACCAATCATACGATGGTACGATGCATGCCCGTATAAGTTCTCAACCCTGAACAACTCGTTAAAAGCCCAAACAGCTTGCTGACTCACCCCCTCATCCACTAGAGGTCAGCTTGAACATTGGGGTTGATCACATTGGGGGGCAAGGAGGGTGCAGGGATACACGCGGATTGGATTTCGGAGAACTGCTTCAAGAATAGTGCTACAGTGATCACTGCAATCAGCAGCCAAAAAAGCAGACATGACATTTCGGCGAGGATAGCATGCAAGGCCCTAAAGAGTGTAGATATACACCGCATAACGTCCCGCACAGTGGCTTATGTGTCCGGAGTAATGCAAGGCCTTTTCCATATGAAACCATCAGTGTCTTCACTGTCGTGCTGCTTTTGCAGTGTGCGAGTGCTACGCCACCACAAGATTGCGTGCGATGGGCCTTCACGGCATCTAGCAAGGCCTCTTCATCGACGACGCCGCCTCGAGACCTGAGACATGACGTCATACCTGGACTTGTATACCCAAATTCTCGCTGTGTTCTGGGGTGTACCTACTAATGGAGCGACTTCTACTAAGCTGTAGGACATTGGGGTTGCAGGTACAAATGAATAGCCGTGCTGCTGCACGGTTTCAGGGTGAAAGGGCTTACGGTCGGCAGTTGAGAGATTGAGATTTGAAGGTCCTTCGTATCAGCGAGGAGGATGTAATCTTGACAAGGCTAAGGGATGCTGGCTTCTGATTCCGGATTCTGGCCTTCTTCGAGAGCGAATGGGTCGCGATACAAGATTCCAAGGAAACCCATTGCATCTTTAACCCAGGGTTCTACCTCACACGGCACTAGGACCCCTACAGGATTGAAGCTGACAGGATTCAAGGCATGCCGGATCTTCGAACTAGACATGATAATAGCGTATAACCCCAAAATCAAGGGCACATAGTCTATCACTATGAGTATTGGGGAAGTCCAGGTAATCTTTACCCTACACCCTAAACCCTAAATCCTAAATTTCAAATCCTAATCCGCATCTTTGAGCAAGCTCAACCCGCCACAGGTCGTACTAGGTTTCTACTGGGTTGCTGTAGAGGGACGAGAATCCAGACTAGGCCTCACTTGGGTGTTGGAATGTCCTCTGAAGACTATCATCGATGCCGGACATGTGACGGCTAGCAACATCACAAGGAGGGGGGGTGGTCCATAGAGTAAATCAGATGCTGGAAGCAGAAAACAGAGCCCTGTTTGGAGGAACGTCGATGTCTTGTTGCCGAAATACTCAACCTTGCGGCCCCCTGGCAGCTGAGCGCACCGCAGATTCACCACCAAAGCACCTGCAGCTGTCAACGTCTAGGTGAAGACTTCCAGGACCCTCCTTGTACCCTTAATTGGGGATATATGGTCCCTAATAGTGGGTACTTAGTCCCTAACAGAGGGTAGAAGGAGGGTCTAGGTTATGACTGAAAATCCAGAGAACCGCAGACTTCACAAACAAGGCTCAAGCCACAAGGATCCTTCGCATAATGCCGAAGAAACTACCCACGCACCTCCAAATAGGTGCCCTAGCCCATGCAAAACCTCCTAGTTCCTGCTTCAAGTCTGGCTACAATTTGCACAAGCCTGCTGGACCTAAAGGATCCAAAAAATTAATACTCAAAACAAGATGAGACCAGTGTTTCATTGGGATACTGGGGGTTTAGGGTTTAGGGTTTAGGGGTCCATGTTTTGGATCTTGTGGGCTTCAGGTTAAAAATATTGCGTTGACTGAGGTCCGTGCCTGGACGGAGCTTGGCGAGCAACCCAGCGCCCACCAGGTTTCGCGTAGACTTTCCCAATGCCAGGTGCACGGATAAGGCCTGATCTTCAGCTTATTGGGGGACTAGGATAGTGATCAAGGAAATATTATAGGGTACTTCTTGGGGGTTAGCAGTGAATAAGGGAATAGTATAGGGTACTAGTTGGGGGTTAGTAGTGAATGAGGGAATATTCTAGGGCTTAGGGATACATTATATGGGGGGGTATATGGGGAGTATGTTCCCATGTTCGCTCCAAAAATCTCCAGGAAGTGAAGGGCGTAAGGGTTTCGAGCTTCAGGGCTTAGAGCTTGGTTTTGGGTATAGGGTTTAGGATTTTGGGTTTTGGGTATAGGGTTTAGGATTTCGGGTATTGGGTATAGGGTTTAGGATTTTGAGTTTTGGGTATAGGTTTAGTGTTTAGGTTTTAGGGTTTTGGGAATGGGTTTTAGGGTTTACCATCAAGGATCTTGTGCTGAAGAGTAGAAGTTTGCACGAGGTAGGTTTTGGCAGAGTGACATGCAGCACTACATGGGCTATAGTCTTCACTCCTAGTATCCCCCTCAATAGCCTCTATAAGATTCCCCTGCCAGCCTCTCAGGACTTTAGGCTACAGTTCACGTGGGGTTCCAGGATTCAGGCATGCCCAACACCCCGAGCATGAGAATTGCAAGCACAAATGTGATGTTTTTCATATGCACCATACCCTAAACTCCTTAAAGGCTTATAATAGGGGATTGTGATAGGGATTATCAAGGGGGATACTAGGAGTTTAGACTATAGCTCATATTTGCTTAACATGTGGCCCGCACTTTCCGGGCACCTCTTGCAAGGCACGGCATACTGCCGAGGATAAAACTGAAACATTTTGCGATTCCCTAAGTACTAAGTACCTCATGCATTAGGAACTATGGCATTCCAGTACACAAGTCAGGTGTATTGGCATGATTTGCAGTCTATATCTGGTTCAAGCTCAATGCAGCCATATGGTAGTTTCCAGAAATAGTGGGAACCCTAAACCCTAAACCCTAAACCAAATAGACGCCCAACATACAGTCAGTATTATTACACTCTCAGGGTTGCTAAACGCTAGCACTCTCCGACCAATCTGCACCAGGATCCATGGCTATGAGCCTTACCATGATTTCGTTCATCTCCCTTTGTTTCCAGAAGGACCTACTTGGAGGGTCATGGGGACTTAGTAAGTAGGTTAAGAACCCCTATAACCCATATAATACCCCCCAATTATCCCCACTATTAACATACTTACTAAGTCCCCATGACCCTCCAAGAAAGAGGGCATTATTTAGGGCTTGGCAGTTGCAGTTGCGAGCTGGTATCATTGTACCATGCGGTGCGCATGGGCATAACTTGACACCCACATGATTATTAAATGAGAGTTTCCACAAATCCGGGGACCCAACATGCACCTTCGATATGCCGGAAGTAATCCTCATTATATGGCCTCCCACACGAAAAAATCTCTCATCCTTGGAGGACCTCAAACCCATGGCACCGAAACCTAAATCCCTGACCGCCTCCTCCCCTCATGCTGAACCCATGGTCACCAGTGCAAGCCTCAACCTGGACCTCCCAAACACCCTCAAAAATGGCCTGTACCGGAGATTGTAGTGTAAAAGCTGCTGTTGTCCCTGAACCCTAGACCCTCTTAGTGTTCGGGAGGTCTAGGTATCCTATGTCAGCCTTAGCAGAAAATACCTCCTCCCACACCTCTGAACTGGACCCTCTTGGCCCGCGTGAGTGGTTTGCTGAGAGGTTGAACCAAGTAAGACCACTTATATCCTTCTTGAAAATTCTAAAGCCAGTAGGAAAGTGAAATCTTCGTCTATATGGGGGACTAACCAGTAAAGCCCCAGCCACGAAGAAAAACAACTACGTAATGGTACATGTTCCAGCTTCTTTGCCATGTGACTCCCGACTACTGCGGGTCATCCGACCCTAAGCCCTAAACCCTATATATCCTTAACCCTAAACCCTAAACCCTGACCCTAAACACCCTAAGCCCAGCCCCAAGATTCACCACCTGCTCACGTTTGCTTGGCGGAGTGTAGTTGACTTGACGGCCTGTAGCTTGCAGGTAACCCTATAATGCTACGCAGAGCACCGAAAGCAGTAGACATCTTCACATCTAACAGCATCTGCAAACTCTGCATATGCTTCATTCGCAAGTAGGAAGTAGAACCCTAAGGGTCCAACGACCCAGATACTAGGGTCTTAGGGCCCAAATACTACCCTTACATTTGGGTCCTTGGACCTTTAGGGGAATATCCCTCTTAACAGGCTGCCCAAGTAAGCCCCTAACGTCTGCCCCGTCGGCTGCAGCATCGGGTGTGGGGCAAAATTCTGCGCCCAGTTCTGAAGCCTCCTGGTTGAGGATTTCGGGGTTCAGGGTTGAGGGTTTAGGATTTCGGGGTTTAGGGCTGAGGGTTTAGGGTTTCGAGGTTGAGGGTTTAGGGTTTCCGGGTTTAGGATCTATGGGGGTGTGGGGATTGGAGACTCAGGAAATAAAGTCGGATTGAAGAATGGTTTGGGAATAGGTACACGTAACAACCCAAAGGACCTTCAGAAGTAAGTAAGACGTTTTGGGTGCCCAACATGGTGGGCGCCAAATGCTATGCTCAAGCTGTGGTCAATAGAAAAAGCCCAACAAGGCGGATCCTTCGTGCGAATGTCGTTCACACGAGGGGTGATGTCTGGGTGGTTGATCATGCAAGACCATTTCCTTGTTGTGACGTTCTATATCAGAATGGAGTATCATTTAATCTTACTACATATACGTCATTCAGGACTGCATGATCCACCACGGCGCTGCTTCTTGAGGGATTTTAGAGGTGAAGCATAGCGCTGTCGGGAATTTCTCAAGATAGCTCATCCTGCAGGGGCGGGGTATTGATTGAGAGTGAGGAATGGCTGTGATTTCTGTAGGGGCACATCGGAGACACTTCCGACACTTCCATGCTGTAATCCTCTCGTAGAAATTGGTTACCCAACGAAATTAGTGCCATTGCGGGATTTAAACCTGCAGGGCATAAACCGCCGCTGCGTAATAGCCGCTCTAAGTCCATGCGCTGAACATGAAATACGAACCCCAGATCTGGGAATCCAAGAACTCCGGCCAAACCGAAAATCCTGAGTCATAGAACCTCAGCATACCTGAGCGCAGAGGTCCCTACAACGCTGTAGCAAGACAGACACCACTGAAAGGGACGCTCCGACTCTTGCCTGCTTGAACTGCTCAAACACTACCAGGTTCGTTCTTTGACACGGCTTGCCGAGCCAAGAAATATGAGAAATACCCAACCCTAGACCTGCTTTCGAAGCCCTGAATCTTAGCCCCTAAGCTGTAAAGGCAGCCTGTTCTCCCTACATATCCCTACCGTACACCCTCACCAGTGCCTATGTTGGGAAACATCCAGAAAACCAAAGCACGAAACCCTAAACTGTGCGTTGAGTCCAACAGACCTCTAGACACCAAATAATAGCCCAACCCGAGCACAATAGCCAATTTTGGTTTCTATACTCTGGGTGTTCAGCTACCCGCTAAAATTACAAACCCACCCAACGCGAAATCCCAACATCTCTCCGAGGGTTTGGGGTCATCAGAACCCGAAGGCTTGGTAGGGGCATCTCAGGCTTAGGGTTTAGGGTTGCAACCGCTCAACCTGAATCTCCGCCCCTAAACCCTGAAAACCGAATCCCAGAAACTGAAATCCGAAGTCCGCGAACCCAAGTCATCACTATAATTTAACCCCAACAGAAACCCTTAACCCTAATGCTGTTAAGGAACTGAGGAACATAATTTAAGTTATCAATATGTGGCTATCCAGTAAACCGTCGGGTTTCTTGCTTGTAGTAACTTAGATTAACCCTGATCCTAAACCCTAAACCCTAAACCCTGAACCCTAACCCTAAACCATCGAACCAAAAAGTGAAGCCTGAGCTGTCAATGAGCGGCTCCAGGCCCGTACGTGCATGCGAAAAGCAAGAGCCCGCCTGTCTCTGACTGAGATTCTTGCTAGGGGTTAGTAGGGAGTAAGGGAATAGGGAACACAATCCCTATATACTATATATACTGTATGCTATATTCCCATTTTCCCTACTGGCCGCCTGTAAGGATTTGGAGCCTAGGGGTTTAGAGTTTAGGGATCAGGCTCTCAAGGTTGTGGGGTTGAGGGTTCAAGGTTTGGGTACCCTAAACCCTAAACCCACTGGAGGTGATGGCTGCTAGTACTTGGCAGGGCCTTGAAAAGCTTGCACGTCGCGGCCAAGATTTGGCTGCGTGCCGCATGGTTCCAAGAGCTGCTTCTTACTGGTGCTAAGTAGCAAACGAAGGAATGGGGTATAGGCCATGGGGACTATGATACGGGATTGTTTTTGAAAAATACATAGGGATTCATTGCTCCATTCCTCTTTAACCACCGGTAAAGAGTTTGTATTACAAGCAGATGCTGCGCAAGCTGTGAAACGTGTTGGATGGCATGCCTTCAAGGCCGATAAGGACAGCCTACTGACACCTGGCCAATCTTCTGCTCGAATACAGGGGAAATTCTGAGCCGCGCGGGCTTCAGCTCCAAAAGTAGCAGGCGTGGCTGCCGTGAGCAGTAAAATTCGTCTTGATCAGACGTGCAAATTCAGCGTCGACTTCAGCATCTGTGACCTCGACTCCTGAAACGCCCTTCATATGAATTGTGTGTCTACCTGCCTTTTATGTGTACAACTTATACACCTGTAACACTTATTACCTACAGTTTGATAGTGGTGGGTACCACATAATTCATCGGTCCTGGTAGATTCGTGCAGCTTCAAGTCTGGAAGGCCCTTGCGAGGCTTGTTTCTGGCGCAGGGGGGGGCGTGGGGACGAGGGCGAGGGGAATGGAAGAGGGGAAGCAAGAAGAAAACAAGGGAAGACTGGGTTGCTGTAGCGTTCAAATAAGGAACTTAATTGAGTTACCATACTGGGTAGATATTGTAATTAGTAGGGTTTCCCCAATATAGCAACTAAAAATAGATTCCTTAACAGGAACCCAGAAGATTGGGGGGACTTTACGGCTGGCAACAGGACCGCACGCAGATACTGGCAGAGGAAAGTGGGTTTGACACGTGCTCATTGCAGTGGAGCATCCACGTGGCCTCCGGTGGCATATAACCCACACAAGACAGCTACTGGTTGAAGTTGTGGGTTTGAGCAATATTGGAGGAGCTGAGAAGCACGGTCGTGGACTTTTGGACTATACTTCTGTACCAGCTGATGGATGCTCAGCACTGCCATTCTGCTTTTGTGAAGGACCTGGCTTTCAAGAATGTGGCGCGAGATGCATCGGCCAAAATGATCGCAAGCATTAAAACCTTCAAAGGGTGGGGTCCCCAAGGGTGAACCCCCAGCTTGTTCAAGCCGATTTTCCACTCTCTTTAGTGTAGGGGGTCCCCCTTTACTAGGGACGCCCGAAAAATTCAAAATGGGCGACATCAGTAAGGCACGCACATTCTGAGGCCCCTGGGGAATGCTTTAGAGGGGCTCTTGCGGATCACATCGCCTGCAGAACTTGCCCATCTTGAGTCAATCTCGAAACTTTTCTACTCGAGGTAGTATGTGAGAAACTTCCAAACCATGATGACAAGAAACATAGGATAGAAAAATGTGTTGAATAGAACATGTTTCAAGACTGCTCAAGTTACAGAGGAGACGTATCAAACTGCGCGTTGAAAGGTCAAGACAATTCTAACAGAATATGATTTTCAGAATGAAAATTACACCCACCCACCCTTCCATCCACCCACCCACCCCCTACGTCCTCCCTTCCTGCCCTCGAGCCGAAGCTGAGTATGCCGCGTGAGCAGGAGTTGCCAAGAAATGGGTGCCTGACCGCCGTGTCTGGGTTTAGTACCCCAGAACCCAAACGCATTCAGCAAGCCTATAGCCCAACGTAGGCAGGGCCCTATGTAGGTAACATTTGTCTACTTGCATCCCTCAAACGTCTCCAAACTGCGGCTTGCGCAACAAAGGTCTCCGGCGCGGCCGAAGAAGTGTGGCCTTGCATGGCCTTGCTATCCTACCAAGCGTAACACAAAACTCAGGACGACGTAGTTTCAAGCATGCGCCAGAGCCCCATTTCCTTGCAAACAATTGCTGGAACCATGCGTTTGCTGCATTTCCAACGACCTTGAAACACACAGACTCTACATGCGTGCGCGGGATGCTTACATATATAATGTACATGGTGTGTGTGTATATTATATATATATATACACCGTTAGGGCAGAAGCCCCTTCATGTGAAGCCTCTAACCCTAAGGGTCCAAACACCTAAATAATAGGGGTTGAGGGCCCAAATACGAAAATCTGAATGGTATTTGGGACCTAAAGCCCTAATATTTGGGTTCTTGGGCCCTTCGGGTAAAGCCTAGCTCTGGGCCCGAAGTGGCCCAAAGGTGTTTTGCATCAAAGCAGCAAGCCTGGCCTTCTTTTTCATAGTTTGGAGGGGTTCCAAAACAGGTTTAGGGTTTGTTGTTTGGGATTCAGGGTTTGTGGTTTGGGGTTTAGGGTTTGGGGTTTAGGGGACCCTACGCCCTATAAAAGCAGACAACTGCAAAGTTACAATACGCTTGGGCTACTATTTAGTGCAAGATTTCCTCAATCCAGTGTACAATCTTTGTATCTCTACCCTGAACCTGGAACCCTACACGCTAGACCGGGGCCCTGAAGGAGTAAGTTAGCCCTAACCAACACCCTGAGGGTACAAGTACGTAAAAAGGATGTGACTTCGATCCAAGTGGCTTCCGATGGGACAAAACTAAACCCTATACCTGTAACCTGAACTACCTACAATGCAATGGGCTATACCTATTAATTAGAGGGTAATTACCACTATAGGTAATTTGGGTTACGGGTTACAGGTAAAGCCCAATCTACTACTGTATTTGGTGGACTCTTATGGACAAGCTGTGCCTGATTACTTCGCGGCCGATGTAGCCAGTGCCAAGCACAGCCAACGTGCGCCCTCAGCGCCGTTCAGGTTTTGCCCTACAGGTCCCAGTGCTCCAGTAATAGAACATTTGGGCCCAAACCGGGTTCCTATAGAGGTACTTTTGGCTTAATTACATACTATTCAAGTACTTGGACTCTTAGGGAGGACTTCGGTTTTTGGTGTCTGAGCTTGGGAGAACGTTTGTAGGACTGAGGGGGATTAGGCCTGAGGGTGGGATCGCCTAGGCCTAGACCTTCCAACTCCCAAATGCACATGGTGACTCAAAAGTCATATAGCTATGAGTTTGGGGTCGATGGCTGCTATTGTGGGTATGCGGGATGTCTTAAGCTATGTTCGGGGACATTGGGAGTCAACAGTTCGGAAGATGACAGGGCTAAGGGAACCCTAAACCCTAAATCCTAAACCCTAAACCCCAAACCCTAAATCCTAAACCGCGGGTTGGGCGGTCAGCCTAGGATGATGCTTTACGTTGTCTTGGAATATCCCCTGGTGTGCAAATGTCCAGTTGCTGATCACAACTTGTCAGGTGTGTCTAGATAATAAATGACCGAACCAGAGTTTCCATGAATTAGGGCGGGTGCCCCATGGAAGGATTGCTTTTTTTTGGGAGGTCTATAGTCGGGTCCCTCTTTTTATGGAAGCCCCGAAATGAGAGACCAGGTATTCAAAAAGCAGTGGCGACTTGTAAGCCCTGTAGCAACACGTCATCCGCATGACAAGATGCGCAGAAGACCGCATTGCTCTTAAGAGAGCAACTGAGACTAACAGGGGGGCTTCCCAAAATCAGGGGTACCATTTAGGGGTACCGATAACTATTATAAGGACTATAATAGTTCAGGGTCTGGATTGGGGCCCCGCTATTTATGGAAGCTACCATATACATGATATCGATACATACCCAAACAACGCTAAGCTTTGCCCTGAAATACACGAAGCGGTCTATGGAATGCGGTTGCGCGTCTTGTCACTTGTAATTTAGATTTGGGGGGTGCCCCGAACCCTAGAATCAAAGCACGAGGAAGATTGGGAATGCCGTACAAGCTCACAAACCTCTCACACTATCTACATATGCACGACTGTGACCATGAAACCTCACAAAGAGGACGTACATCATGGAATCCTTCGAGGTGCTCCTTGGGTATCTTGAGATAGCAGCTTCCTGAAACTGGGCAGCGCCAACATAGGACCCCAAAAAGACTATCAATCTTAACACAGGTCCCTGTCAAAGGTACCCCTAAGTTTATTGAACACCCATCTACGTACAGGATTTGGGTCACTTGCCGTCTCTTGTCAGGGACCCCTATAAGATCAACAATAGCGACCACCATACTCCTGATAGTCCTGCTTCATGCCTAGGGTCCCTGAGGGCTTCCGGGGAAATACATGTTTAGGGCTTCGGCCGTAATTGGCTTAAGGTGCAAAATGCAGGCTTATAACAGTTTAGCGTTTAGGATCCTCCAATTGGGTCTATGAGGACCACGCAGAATCTTAATGTCTCCGCCCTGACAACCCTCTGCGTTCACTACAGCTTATGGTCGTTTGCATGTAAGTCCCTGTCCCTGTCACCAAGCCCTGTTGACCCTAAACCCTGAACCCCAAACTCTGAAAGCCCAATCCCTAAACCCCAAACCCCAAACCCTAAACCTTAAACGTCAATCCCCAAACCCTAAACCCTTAGACGCGAACTCCCAAATCACAGGGAGCCTGGCCGTGAAGTCCTTTTGGGCCTTTGGCGAACTCCAGTCGCTTCCAGTGTCCCTCTCGGAGGGCTGACACCTGATGTGGTAATTTCCCAAAATAAGGCAACCCTAACCCTAAGGGTCCAAGGACCCAAATAATAGGGCTTTAGGGCCCAAATACCATAAATATTATGGTATTTGGGCCCTAAACCCCTATTATTTGGGTCCTTGGACCCTTAGGGTAATATAGGCCCCAAAATACTATAGCCCTGCTTATGGGACCCCCAAAAAGGTATCCCTAATTTTGGG